CTTAAACTACTTCAGTCTGTGTGCATTAAATTTATTTAATACACGAGTTTCACAATTTGAGTTGAATTACTGAAATAAATGAACTTTTCCATGACATTCTAATTTATTGAGATGCACCTGTATATATATATGTATATATATTTTTTTTTTAAGACTTTGGTAACACTTTATTTCGATAGTCCACTTTAGACATTCTGTTAACAGTAAATAACATTACAACTACATGTCAACTAGCAGTTAGTAGAGTATTAGTAAACTGTCTGCTTAATATCTTCTAACAATTTCTCTGTCAACATTCTACTAACCCTAAACCTACCCTAAGTCTACTCTGAGAGTTAGTAGACGTGTAGTTGCAAATTAATGAGAATTAGTTGACATGTAGTTGTAATGTTATTTACTGTTAACAGAATGTCTAAAGTGGACTATCGAAATAAAGTGTAACCAAGACTTTTCTTATTTTAACCTAGGCTGCATTTACTTGGTCCAAAATACAGTAAAAACAGTCAAATTGTGAAATTTGATTACAATTTAAAATAACTGTTTTTAAAAGATTAACTTTCACCAGTTATTACTATAATCTTCTTATTTTCAGGGAAACTTATAATAGCATTTTTATAACAATGTAGAACTGTCCGTTTTTGATCAATTGAATGCACCTTTGCTGTATAAAAGAATTAATTTTTTTCTAAAAGAAAAAAAAACTTACTGACCCCAGTACATTGAATTGATCAATGTGACTATGTACACTGTATTTATTCTGTAGCTTAAAAGACTCAGATGCTAGGAAAATCACTTACGAAAATGTATATATGAGTCTGTTTGATCATGTAATTTTTTTTATATAACTAATCACACTAAATTAACTTGTTAAACTGAACACTCTTGTTCAGTGTGATCTGCACATGAACTTTAGTCTGACCACTTCACAGTTTTAAACTTTTCCACACGGCAGAGGTTTGCACTAACTAATAACATACTGTATATAGAAGGTGCACAGTGTCATTCACACAAACGCTAAACACCATCATGGTAACACACATGAAACTGAAATAATGCAATAAACATTAATTTAACAACATTAGGTGTAACACACAACCCTAATATACAAAACTGATGAGAAAAAACTAAGAAGAAACATAGTTGTTTCAACAAAAAAACATCTAATTTGAAATGTAACGCATGGAATTCTGGAAATGTCAATTTAAGGTTATTCACTGTAAATTATACAGTCTTTTCCACTTCCAAAAACGGTATACTACCGTAAAATTGTCCAATACAGTTTTTCACCATATATAGTACGGGGTTTT